ATTCTTATGCTCACAAAAGCAGAAGGCTTCATGAATACAGTGGGAGTTTAACCACATCAGGTCAAAATTTCAAGAAAGACTTCATTTCAGGTTACCTTAATGATGGCACCTTACTTATGATAATTCATGCATTCAGTTTACACAATTTTAGTAGGTGTCTATTATATATAGTGAGAACCATTAGAATATATCTTCTTAGTGAGTGTCAGTAAATAAATACAACAAAAGTCCTACTCCATGTAGTAGTAATAATAATAAGATACATAACAGTGCTTACAAATTATGTTAGTCATAATTAGAAATAGGGCTTCAAGTGGTCTCCCAAGCCAGCTCGGCTCCTGAGGGAGTTCTGGGCTAGAGTTTTACCCAGTGATTGAGCAAAGGGCAAAATTCAGAGATCTTAAAAGAAAAAAAAAAGGTTTTCATAGGCAAAAGAGCTAATATGTCCTGTGACTTCCAAGAAGGTTTCTGAATACTGTAAATCTTAGTATTTCATTATGTGATGCTTTTTCTAACTAGTACAAAAGAAAATCCTAGGGGCCCCAATAGGGAGCTCTGGTGGTCTCGTGGCAAGAAGCTTCACTGCAATCCTGAAGGCACACAGTTCAAATCCATCAGCTGCTCTGCAGGAGAAAGATGGGCAATCTTCTCTCATGCGATAAAACTGCCTCTGAAAACCTGCCAGCGGATACCTGTGGATCAGTTCTGACTCAATGGTATACAACAACAACAACAACAGGGGTCGCAGTACTTCACTCCACCTCATTCTCACACCCTTCATACTGTAATTTGAGAATCTCACAAAGACAGTATCTCTTTCTTCAGGTGATTTGCCAGTGGAATTGGGCATGAATGACAATGTGTTATATCCACGCCTAGATTTTAAGAGGTCTTGCATGTTTTACTTTCATGGAACTTCTGTGATTTCCATGTAAGCATGCTGGAGCTGGCCTGTTGGGGGATGAAAGACATGTGGACCAGAGCTGAGTGGCCCAGTCTCCCATATTGAATAGCCAATCCATTCCCAGGTATAGGAATAAGCCTAGCCAAGGTCCCAGATGGATGAACTATGAATTTACTGTCATATATGTTACTAAGGTTTTTGCTTACTTTTTATGCAGCATTACTAAACAGCAGAGAAGTGACACATTTGGGGAAAAATCAGAGTGCCTTCTCTTGGAAATATGCTGACAGTTCTATTTGAAGCTAACCAGCACGGGTCTCTGTCACAGCTGCTCAGGCTACCTCCAGGCTAGGGTATTTGGAAAGATAACCAGAAGCAGAATTATTAACTGGGTGACCTCCAGATTCATAAGGACTTAAAGTGTGAAGGAGAAAAGTGGCATAAGGCTTCCTTCCTGTTGAGATGGCTTGCATTCTTATGACTCCTTGTTTAAGAAGAAATAGCCCTGGTGGCCCAATGTGTTAAGTAGTGAGCTGCTAACTGCAAATAGGACAATTTGAAACTATCAGTTTCCCTGCAGGATAAAAATGAAGCAGTCTGTTCCAGTGAAGATTTACAGCCTTGGAAACCCTAGAGGGTAGTTCCACTCTGCCCTCCTAAAAGGCTCTTGTGGGTTGAAATCGACTTAACAGCAAATTTGGTTTTATCTAAGTACACAGAAATCATCACTCCAAGTGTCTACTGCGATTGAAGGATGAGACAGGAAGCCTTAAGGAAAAATGAAACATTCCAGTTGCTTACTTAATCCCTGCCCTTCCTTTAACCCATCAAGCTATGTGCCTAAGTGTATTTAGATTTTTACTAATGGAAAAATAAACCTGATTTGGCAACGTTATGGTAAGAAGGTCACATGCCATCTATATGGATGTGTCAGTTCTGGAAATAATCTTGAAAAACCAAGCTCCTTTTGAGACTTCATCAAACAAGATATATATATATATAATCCCTGCTTCCTAATCTGTAAAAATCAATACCTTTCAGAAAAAAGAAAAAAGAAAAAACATCCAAACAAAAGTGGCCTTTTAAATAAGTAATTTCTGTCCACCCTCATAGTGTCAAAAACCCTTCCATGGGTGACGTATTCTTTTGTCTTGCTTGTTGTTCGTCCTGTGTACTGTCACCTGGGAACGACCCATAGCTGACCCTCTGGCGGATTTTCAGAGGCAGTTAATTGCAGGGGAGGAGACAGGCCATCTTTCTCCCATGGTTGAATCTAACTGGGTGCCTGAATAAGTGGCATATAACATACATACATACCTATATATTGTTGTTATTGTTATGTGCCGTCGAGTCACTTGCAACTCATAGCGACCCTATGTACAACAGCCCTAAACCCTGCTCTATCCTGTGCCAATCTCACTGCCTCTGACACATCCATCCCAATTACCCCAGTCACTGAATCAATCCACCTCATAGAGGGTCTTCCCCTCCTGCGCTGTCCCTCCACTCTGCCCAGCATGATGTCCCTCTCCAAAGATCTGTCTCTCCTTACAACATGTCCAAAGTATGTCAGGCGAAGCCCCAGAATCCTTGCCTCCAAGGAGCAGCCTGGTTTAACCCTCTCTAGGGTGAATCTATTTGTTTTCTTGGCAGTCCATGGTACATTCAGTACTCTTCTCCAGCACCACAGCTCAAAAGCGTCAATTCTCCTTCTATCCTCCCTAGTCATTGTCCAACTCTCTGATGCATAACAAGTGATTGCAAAAACCAGGGCTTGGATCAGGCGCACCTTAGTCTCCAGAGAGACACCGTTACTCTTGAGTACTTTAGAGAGGTCCCTAACCACAGACTTTCCCATCGCAATACGTTTTTTGATTTCCTGGCTACTGGTGCCAAGAGTGTTGACCGTGGAGCTGAGCAAACTGAAGCTGTGAACAATCTCAATCTCTTCACCATCCATCCTCATGTTACCAATTGGTCCAGTAGTAAGAATTTTTGTCTTCTTGACATTGAGCCTCAGTCCATACTGAAGGCTGTAGTCCTTGACCCTCTGCAGCAAGTGCATGAGGTCCTCCTCAGTTTCAGCAAGCAGGGTTGTGTCATCTGCATAACGCAGATTGTTGATAGATCGTCCACCAATCCTAACGCCACGCTTCTCCTCATAGAGCCCTGCCACTCGGATAATCTGCTCACACACAATGTATATACACACACCCACCCACACACCATATATATATATATTTACACAAAACATATATATATAAAACATATGTATACAAAACATATATACATGCACAACATCTATATACATGTACAACACATATATAAAATAAAATTATTCTTTGTTTTAGTAAGTAGCCTAAAAATTAAAGTTGATGTAATTTTAGAAATTTATTTTAGCTTAATATGACAATAATAATTTTATTATATAAATGTTCAGAAAATAAAGATGCAGCACACTTTTTTTTTTGCACTACACATTTTTAAAGAAAACGTAAATATGGCTTGAAGAGGTGACCTGTCTTCTCTGGTCAACACTGAAAGAAAGAATTGTTTTTAAACACCTGAGCACAAGACAGACAATTTTTAGCTTTTGCAATTGTTCATTTTCCTGTCTATTCCATGGAACTATACATTCTAAGAGATCTAAAACCTTTTCTGTTTTGCTCATCCATCAGTCTCCTGGGTTCAGTATATACAAGACATACTCAATAATGCCCAGGGAAGAAAAGCAGGAGGCGATAAATCTGGGAAGGGAGGGAGGGAGAGAGCAAAAGAGGATGCAGAAAGGGATTTTAAAACTTAATCCTCACAGTTTACCTGGTGTTGTCGTATATTACCAAGGACGGCCCTTTAAGTGGTTGTTGTTGGTGTGTACTGCTCAGTCTAAATAGACTCCTAGCTGACCCTCTAGCAGGTTTTTAGAGACAATAAACCACATGGAACGAGACTGCCCATCTTCCTCCCACAAGTGGTTGGTATATTATGACCTTGTGCCTTTGGATTGACAGCACAACTTCTTACCATTAAGGAAGCAAACAGAGCTCTCTGTTGTTATTAGGAGTCATTGAGTCAAGCATGACTCCTTACAATTAAGCCGGCAGCACAACACCTTACCAGTAAGGGAGCTACTGGAGCTTCCTTCCTTACTCTGTTACTGTTATTAGGTGTCATTAAGTATGACTCATAGTGACCCTATCCTATGCCGTCTCCATAATTTCTGATATGCTTGAGCCCATTGTTGCAGTCACTATGGCAATCTATCTTGTTGAAGGTAGCTAGTTAATAACCTCAAGATATTCACTGGGCTTACAGCACACATGTGGTGGTGGTGAGGCTTGAGAGGTAAAGACTGAGGATCCCTTATTCCTTTGCTTTAACTAGCCCGGTTCTTTGAGTTTTAAGCTCTGGATACTCCAAGAGAAGGAACATGACACCCAAAGCCAAAGGAAAAGTTTCTATATGGGCATTTTACTGTTCTAGTGAATGAAATGTGATATGTTCAAACCCCTCAGACTTGGGGATGGACCCAAATTTTCAGAATGTGAACATCAAAGTGACCAAAACCAATAAAATTTGAGAGTGGGAACTCAATTGTCTCTGGTACTCTAGTTCAGGGGCTTCTGAAACTTTAATGTGCAAGCAAATCACCCAGGGATCTTGCTCAAAATGTGGATTTTGATTCACTGGTCACTTTTTTTTTTAATGTAAAAAGACTAAGAATACCGATAAATAAGGTACTGAAAAGGGGAAGGAGAAAGATGGATAAGAGCAGGCGACAGACCTTAAGTGAAGACATGATAGTGACAGGCAAAGATCAACCAAAAGGGAAGAAGAAGAGCAGCAAATGCGGGGAGGGGGGCGTGATGTGGATAGTGCCAGCTAAGGATCACACTGAATATACAGGGACTTACAGCAGTCATCTCCACCTCCAGGTGCGTGTGAGCCCAGAGGCCAGACTCAGCATTCCAGCTAGGTGTCCCTCGCATCTCCCCGCCGGCCGCCTTGAGGGAGGAGCTGGGGGCGGAGCGGGAGGAGTGGCGCGGTCCCACATGGGTCCTGCCAGAGATCACCTCGGCCCCTTGGAGAGGCCGCCAAGCTGCGGCGGAATCTGGAGGGAGCAGGTTTGGTGAAGGCGCGGCCTCAGGGAGAGGGGTGCACGACACGCATCCCCCACACTTACCCGAACCACTCGGGAGCCTCGCGACAACCCGTGTCCCACTTGTCTATCTGCTCTGTGCGTCCTCTTCGCGCCCGCCTCCTCTTGTCACCTTCCGAATCACCCTCCTCGCTCCATCCCCGCTGCATCCACCGCCATCCGAGCGCCTCAGTGAGCAGGAGGTGGTGCGCTCAGCTGCAGGGCGCGCCCTCAAGCCTGCAAGGTCCCAGGCTTGGCGTTAAGGGGCACTGGCGACAGCATGGACACCAAGCGCTGCTTTGCCAACCGCTTTGATGACTACCAGGGCAGCCTGCTGGCAGGCCAGTGCGAAGAGGCAGTGGGGCCCTTGGTCACCGCCACCATCGAGCGCATTCTCCAGGAGCTGCCCCCTCTCGGGAGTGCCACTGAGGCCCGGGGGGCAGCGACCGGGGCCAGTGGCTGCCAAGGGGGACTGTACGGCGGCGTGGCGGGGGTAGCTTACATGCTCTACCACGTCTCACAGAGTCCGCTCTTCGCCGCGGCCCGGGAGCGCTACCTGCGCTCGGCTAAGCGCCTCATCGACGCGTGCTCTCGAGCAGAGGAGTGGGGCGAGCCGGACGCCGACACCCGCGCCGCCTTTCTGCTCGGGGGAGCGGGCGTGTACGCGGTGGCCACACTCGTCTACCACGCCCTGGGTCGGTCCGACTACGTGCAGCCTCTGGGCAAGTTCCGGGCTCTGTGCGCCGTCTGTGCGCCTGTCTCCTTCCTTGAGTGTGGCTCGGATGAGCTGTTCGTGGGCCGCGCAGGCTACCTGTGCGCCGCGCTGGTGCTCAAGCAGAAACTCGCCCAGGAGGTAAGAGGTAGCTTGAGAAGCGCTCGCTGCTTTCCCAGCCCTGAACACCCCTCTGAAACTCCCGGGCTCCTGAAACGCCTCCGCCCCTTGCTGTTTCTCTCCATCCCTTCCTTTGTTAATCTTTCCCTGCCGCTGTCATTTCTTCAATGTGCTGAGTTCTAGCTCCTGCTTTTCTCTCTTTCTGTCTTTCTCTTTTTCAGTGTCTCCTTCACTGAGATTTTGAGTCTTAGCGCTTTCTTTGTGCTGTAATTTGAACAAGGCATCTCCTCTTTGCGCAATAGCTTTCTGGAAGCCTACAATGTGGGTCTTTCAAATGAGATGAAAAAGCTGAAGAAGAAAAAAAGGTGAAAGGGATTTCCCCGCATTTTGATCTATTGAAAGCCTAAGTATCCTCGCAAGTTAAAGAACTAAAAAAGTGGTGTAACTTTCGGAAACTCATTATGCCTTCCTTGTTTCCATGCACTGATGCGGTGTGAAGTGGTTTCTGCAATGCCCAAGTCTAACTGTCCGCCTTTTGTCTGCTGTGCTTACTTTTAAGTTCAGCTCATGGCTCTTACTAAATGCATAGCTGATGGCGCTGTCCCCTTTTTTAATACATAAATGTAGACTGAAAAGAGACAGGTGTGAAGAATTGCACCCCATTGCGGTGGAATGTACATTTTTCATTTTAGCATGTGCAGTTATGATTATCAAGAGCACAGCCTTGGCAGGGCAGCCTCTCTTGATGAATGGCTTTCTAGTGGCTCCTTGGCGAGAAATACATTTTACAACTGCATATATATATCTTGGGTTCCTCACCTCCATCCTGTGTTCACTTTTAATACAGCCTTTGGATATTAGATGAAAATGTGTCCATCTCCATGGAATGGGAGGAAGTAAATCCTGCAAAAGATCATAGTAACTAGAACTGAAAAAGAGACACGTTCATTCATAACATCCTGGAGCCAAATCCTGTTCTACAGAGGAAGTGACACATTTAACTTGGCTTTATTTGGATGACAGAGGCGTTTGAAGAGAAACCAAAGGTGCAGAGTATTTTCAAAGTGTAATTAACTTAGATAACCGCTACAGAAGCAGACAGGATATGTTCTTGATATTCAGCAGGTGACGTTAATTCAAGTGAGAAAAAAAAAGAATACTAAGGAATGTGCACTGTGTTAGCAGGGCGGCAAAGGTCTGTGTGACAAAGTTGTCTTGAAATAGTACACTCTGCCTCTGAGTCACTGCTATCTGCTAGCAGTTTCCCAAGGGCCCATCCAGTTGTATAAAACCGGTTAGAAGGCCAGAGAGCTATTTACATATCATTTGCATTATATTTGCATCTGCTCTTCAGTCCTCGCAGTCTGGTAATAGGAAATTATCAAATTCAGTTGCTTCAGGCCCCTTGTTATTTCCCTTAAGCTTGGGTATTCCCCTTTCTATGCCTTTGGGGCCTTTTCGTTAGGATGAAATAACAAAGATGGGACATCAAGACATTCAGATGAACTCAAACCAGGACTCTGCCCCAAAACTGGTGGTCAGGGCAGTCTGTAACGTAATACTGATCTCCGTTTATGAAGTCCTCCTTTTTGCCCTCCTGACAAACCCAATCTGTCTATTTGCACTAATCAAGCTGAGGTACTTTGGCCCCTGCTCCCTAGAGAGGCAACAAGCTCACAGGGTGAAAAAAAAAATTAAAAATCAGCTTTTAACTCTTTGTTCAGCCAGTCTCAATGCTAGTCACTATTGCAGCAACCCATGAAGTTTAAGCTAGGCCTTTGAACTTATTCATTCTGGGTCAACCCTTTGCTGAGAAATATTTTACATTCCACCTCAGATATCCCATCAGAATCGACATTTTAACCAGAGACATAAGAATCACTTGGGAATCTGTAAGAATCACCTGTGGCTCCTATTAAACTCTAGATAGAAATTCAGTGTGTCTAGAATGAAAAAACCCAAATTCTCATCAGAGGGTTAAACTGAAATGAAAGGATTCAAAGCTCTGGGTTAAGCTTAAAAGAGCAGGCAGGGGCTAAACAGGCCAGGCTGGAAGCCCCTGGAGGGTAACAAGTTTTATGTACCATCCTCTCTCCCAAGCCCTAACCGGTTTATGGCTTTGCCCTCAGTAGATCAACCATACACTCAATAATTTAATCAATTCAATTTAGAATCACTAACTAGTATTCTTTCTCTATAAATAATCTGTTATTATATCCTGGGTTTCTTTCCCTCCAGTGTCAGAACTTTTTCTGTCAGTTGCCTCAGTTATCTAGATCTTTCTCACACTACTTGGCACATTTTTGGCACCTAATAGTTGAATAAATAAAACATCATACAGTAGAATCTGTGTGATGTACTTTGACTGGATGCTGATCCATCCCATCTGTCATCCCATATACCTCTAAGAAGCCAATCCTCTTAAGAACACTTTTCATTGTGCTGTTTCCCTACTCAACATTCTGCAGTGACTTTTTGTTACCTTCCCTTCAAGGGCTTCTCATTTCACTTAGAATAAGCTAAGGTCTGTCTTTAAAACAGACCTTTAAACATGTTCTTCCCAGTTTAGCGCTGGCTGTTAGAGCAAAACCAGAATTTGTAAAATGTGAATGTACCTGAACAAAAACCAGAGTGGAAAAGTTATGAATTGACACTCAGAAACATCATCTCCCTCCTTGAAAACATGAGCAGATTGTGTATTACATAGCAGTGAAATCTCTTGACCAGTAGAGTAGCAACCATCCAAATCAACTCAAAGATTTGAATGTGTGGTGGTGTGCTTCACAGAGCTGGAAAGATTCCAGTCTCCTGCATCAGGCTCCTGAAGGGACTCAGTATGCCTCTCTTGAGTCTTCCATTCTAGAGCTTCAACTCGCAGTGTTTCCCATTCTGGTTGTTGTTCTGCTATACCCACAGTTCCTAAATTCAGATCTGTTCCGATTTCATTGTGTCTGCCTTACTGTACCTATTCCAAATGGTGTGAAGTCATGCTTTAAAATGGCTGACAGAGCCTGGCTTGATCAGGTCCCATCAGCCTACTTTACTCGTCTGCACACTCTTTCAGCTACACTGGCCTTGCTGTTTCAGGCACTTTCCTGTCCAAGGGTGCTTGTGCTTGCTGTTTCCTCTGCTTGGAATATTTCTCCTCTAGATATTTTCTTAACTACTACCCTCACCTCATTCCGGTCTTCACCACAGTGAAGTGTTCCCTATCTACATTACTTAAAATCTCAACCCTTCCCCCAGACATTTTTCCCTTTCCAGCTTTATACTAACTATTTTATTTCTGTCTCCCTTAATTATAAGTTCCATAAAGATAAAGTTTGGGGTACTGCCCCCCTTAGTCATTGTTGTATTCTAGCATCAAGATATTGCCTAACCTGTATTTAGGTAATGAATTTTTCCTGGAGGAAGGTGGGGCATTTTTGCCAATATTGTTGATTCTATGACTTAATTCATCAGCCAGTTTTAATAGTATCTGATTTGTCGGTCTTTTTTCTTACGATAACGGTGGTGATGTCATATTTAAGAAATCTTTACACTGTCAAGGTCTCGGTAAGTATTTATGGGATGAATTCTAGTTCTTTACATTCCCCCTCCCCAGATCAAATTCAACCATTAGAATTAAAATACAAAGGCAAACCCACTGCCATCAAGTGGAGTCCAGTCCATGGCGACTCTCCATTAGGTTTCCAAGACTGTAAATCTTTATGGGAGGAAACAACCTAAACCATTACAATGTTGCTGCTATTGTTCAAATAGGAATTAACCCATAGCTGACCCCCCCAGGGGGTTTTCAGAGGCAGTAATTCACACAGGAGGAAATTGCCTATCTTTCTCTGGTGGAGCAGCTAGTGGATTCAAACTACACCTCCCAGATTACAGCACAGCTCCTTATCACTAGGCCACCAGAGAGCTCCCTAACTATTAGGCTAGTATACCTTAAACTTTAATGTACATAGACATTATCTGAGGATTTTGTAAATAAAATGCAGATTCTCATTCAGCAGATCTAGGGTAGAATCTACAATCTTAAAAATTAACAAACTCTCAGATGATGTTACTGGTCCAGAGAAGATGCACCATTCTGTGTAGCTTGACGATTTATAAGGCTGTAGTTTAAAATGCTGAGGATTAATTCCATTATGCTTTCATTATAAGGAGGGCACATGAACAATTTCTTCTAGGACTTAGGACAAAGAATAAATTGTTCTTCCTGTTGATTAGTTTTAAAAAACACCACCACTCTGAACTGTATTTTCCACTCTCCTTTGACTACTAGGACATTTAAGACTGGTTTAGTGCCATAGTATGCCCTCTTCTGAAATTTCTTCCTTCCATTTGAATTTTTTGCAATTGGATTTCTTTTCCTAAAAGTCTTGAGGAAGAAGAAAATATGTGTGTGTGTGTGTGTGTGTGTATAGAGACAAAAAGGGACAGAGTCAATTATTCTGAGTCATATATGTGTTTGCATTTAAAAAAGTGTGTGTATGTGTATGTAGATATATAGATAGAGTTGTTGTGTATTGTCAAGTCAGAACCCATCCTTTGGCTGGTTTTCAGAGACAGTTAATCGCATAGGAGGAGATTGATTGCCTGTCCTTCCCCCATGGAGCAGCTGGTGGATTTGAACCATTTTCTTGCCATTAGGCTGTCAGTGAGATAATTGAGGACAGAATAATTCATATTCTCTCTCTCTCTCTCTCTCTCTCTCTCTCTCTCTCTCTCTTTCTCTCTGTGTGGTGTGTGTATGTATGTATGTATGTATGTATGTATGTATGTATGTAGGAAGAGATAGTGTTGAAAGAAAAAGAGAAAGGGGGATAAATATTTACATGTATGTAGAGACATACAGAGACAAAGAGAATCACTCTATACAGGTAATATTTTAATTTCACTTGATCCTTCTGTAAATACTCAAAGGAAATTACTTCAAGAGTTTATGAGGCAGCTATCCTTGAACAATTAATAAAAAAACTAAGCCAAACCCACTGACATAGATTTGGTTCCAACTCACAGTG